GTATCGGTCATGTTCTATAGTAAAGAGTGTAGAAGTTTATTTAATTGTATAATGGACGTAACAAAACAATAAATAGAGTAAAATATTTTAACAATATTTAAATTGGGCTATTGTGGGCAAAGTGGTCAATTGCTAAAAATATTGATATTCGAGTACTTTTCTAAGATCAGTTAAAAGTGGATGAATCGTGGTTCCACGTTGGAAGATACAAATACTTTCAATTGCCTGTTATGAATTTAATATTTGCTGAGTATATGCCACCCATGCTCTTTGAAATATTTCTGAACTTAAAGTGTGGCATGTATGCACTAAAAGTGGTCAGGGTAGTATATTTACTGTTCAAAAACTCTTGAACATCAGCCATAATAGATACATGCATATTTCATTAAAAAGTTGATTAAATAAACATACTGAACTATGTATGTTATAGTCTAACAGCTTACAAAAAATAAACACAAGCAAGCTCGATAACAACCACCTCACATTAAGCAGCTAAAATTGATGTTTAAGATTGCACTTATTACTTAAATCGTAATGTTTAACATAACCTCCATATACGACGCCACAGAGTACGTTCCCACGACAGTCGGGTCTACGTAACCGGAACGACCCAGATTTATATCTGGCCAAGGACTGTCACTCCAGCAACACTCCCCAAAAAGTCTTTGGGGAGTTTGTATGCTGTTACAACAACAACAACAACAAGCCACAGAGTACATAGGTTGCAAGAATGATAGAATACAAGATTGCGCCGATCAGAGAGGATTTTTGAGAATAACTTTTGTGTGACGTCACACTGGTGCAATTGCGAGAGAGAAATGCCAAAACGTGAGCAAGAATGGAAGAAGAAGAAAAAATGTTGCAAGGAAAACGTAAACAAGTTGCACCAGTGTGACGTCATGCAAATAACGATTCTGTCAAATTCGTTAAGAGAGGAATAGCGGTCCGAGATCGGCGCAACCTTTGTATTCTCTCAATCGTGCATAGGTTGTATGTACTAGAAAATTTTAAAACTAATTACAAAATAATCTTACCGAAATGCATTTATATTGGAGTACAAGGCGAAAGTGAATTAAAACATACGTTTTGATAACGTATTTGAGAATTTTAGCTTGTCCTTACCTCCTTCAAAATCTTGTTAACCTCATACATATATGTATGTATGTATTTAATATATTTTAAACTCTTCCCCTTATTCCTTAAATTTTGCTAACAATTCGTCGATTAAGCTAACATCACGCACCGCAATCAAACCATCTTTATTGCATTTAAGGTTTTCAATTTCCTCGCCCTCGTCCAGATAGCTTAATGCTATTGGTTTGCATTCGTTGATGCTTCCGCCATAACTAAAAATATCACCGCCTAAAGATCGCAATATAGCTTGTGGTGCGCAAGTGTCCCATTTGAATGTGGAACCCTTACTCAGCAAATACAAATCTACTTCCCAGGTGATCACTTTTACTGCTTTATGACCAGCGCCAGCGGCAAATGCGAACTCATAGCCTAAATCCATGATGCGTTGAAGAATATCACCATTCTCAGAGCTGGAGAATATGCCTAACCGATTGTCACGTGTTGGTCGCTCAAATTGACAATTGTTCGCATGCAATTCCGGTAAACAAATACCCCAAAATACTAGCGAACGATATACATTTTCGTCTAATTTATTATGGAAGGGCTGCGATACAACTCCTATAACAGGCTCACCAGTCGTGCGATCGTACACGCCAACCAGCACGGTTACACAGTCTAAGCCGGTTGAAGTTATACCTGGAAAGTCTGTGAAAATGGTATCCCCAGAAATATACTCAGCAGTGCCATCTGGTGATAAAGAAGAGTGTTGCCTGGTTAGGCCAGAAAGTTATAACCAAAAATCTCATATACTTGCCAATTGGATCTATCCAAATACCCAAATTGCTATAATCTAGGTCTGCTGGCAGTGCTGGTATTTCGCCAAGAACCTCTTCTTCGTATGCAACATCGCGATGTACTTCACTAGCAAGTATTTCCGCTGCTTCAGCTGCAACGTAAAAAACTTACATTAATATATACATATGTACATACGAAAGACAAATGTGAAAAAATGCAAATACTTACCATTTAGTATCGCTGTCAGACACTGCGCTGTTTCCTCTACCGTTTCGCCCACTACAATAGTCACTGACTCTCCCTCTACATTGGTGAAGTTTGGCGACTCTTCACCTTTAATGGCCTCCCGCATGGCAGGAAACTAGGGTAGAAACAGGGGAAGGATATATTAAATATCTTTATTAATACACCATTACCTGTTACTTACCAACTCACAAATATCGTGTTTGATAGTTTCTTGAATTAGCACATCAGCGAGGGTTTTAAAATCGTGTTCAAAGCGGGCATTCGCATCCGGTCCAGTTTTTTCCTGCACCAACAACTTAAGCAGAGCTTCATTGGAACGGCAGACACGCGCAATATTGGCTGCCTTCTCAGCTGCGTTGATGAGTTGCTGTAGAAGATGTGGCTCCATTTTTTTGTCAATTTTATTCCGGAAACGGCAGTGGTTATGTGTATGAAAATCTGAAGTAATGCTTGGCTTAATTCAATTAGCGGGTATACAATTCGTTCGAACGAGTGGCCTTGACGAATCACTTTTTATTATTGTGTGGATTTTGTATGCGGTTTTTTTATATGTATATGTCCTCTTCACTGGTTTCGTTTTTGTTTATAAAAATATTAGCACCGAATTGTATAAATTTGTATATGCGGCACAGTGTTTCCTTTAAAGTAGCCCTGATTTGTACAACCTTTTACATTCGTAGAAAACTATAGTCCGTTTTTAGGCGACCACAAAAGTGTTGGACAATGATCGGAAGTTAAAGTTAATTAACATTGAATCTAAAGATTTATAAACATCAATTTCATGTTTGGTTTTCAAATATCATATAACTTTAATCTAGCATCACATAATGTATGTAACATTTTGTAATTAATTAATTTTTTTTAAGAATATTTGATCTTACACAACACTGAATTTGATCCAAGTCAAGATGCCAGATGTAAAATTTATAAAGATTTTATATTGCGGTTAGGCATGATAGCAGCTGGCAATAAGACTTGCGTGATATTCCCAAAGAAGGTAAATCCATAGACCTTACCTTCTTTGATTTCACCTCAATAATTGAAAAGTTGCCGTATTGAACTTTTGTAAACTGTACATAAGTCTAAATGGATTAACTTTTAGTGTCTTGACATAAATCGATTGTAATACTGTAATTATTGGAGAACGTAAACCCGCTGATATGTAGATCCGTGTGAGAATATCTAAGTTACGGACTACAACTCCAGAAAAATTCTGGATTGCTGAGTTTACATTTACATCGCCCTCTGATAATGAGCAAAATGCACTACACAGTACCAAAGAACGTAAATGTACATTTACACCGCGATGCGCAGACCATGTCATTTCGCCGTTTATGTCTGCACAGACCGTCTGTGTAACATCCAAAAATTTTGATTTTGGTCGCCGATGTATTTGCCCTACAAGAAATCTTACTGGCAAATGACCGGTCACCTTACAGTCAGTGCTGATGCAATAATGCTGCAATTTCCTCATCAGACATTCGGGGGTAAGCTGACTCGAGTTTACGTACCAGCGGCTTTACGTTACCCACTAGTTTCAGCATTAGTCTATAAGCCTTCTCTAAAGCGTAGTCTGGTAACCTCAATTTAGGAAGTGTTCGGAAACATTTTCTTCTCACCTTTGATTGCTTTCTATTTACTTTTCGATGTGTATTTTGAAATAAGATTTGTCGGTATTTTTGTTTTTATACAATCCTCCAAAACCATACCATGGGGCTGATGATTTGCGGCCCCCATCAGACAAGGCAACTTTTAACCACCAAAACACAAAGTTACAGCGCACAATCGCCTCTTATCGCTCTTCTTCGTACAAGCCTTTGTGGAAATGTGTGCGTAGACGCTCTCGTGGCAGTCTCTGCGTTTGGAGCAGCTTCATATCAGAATTGGAGCTTCTGATTCCAGTTCTCATTTTGCTTTCGCCTACTGACAACGTCGCTTAAAACGTAACTACTGCGTCGTTCTTTGTCAGCGTCGGTTCAGTTAATTTTGTGTATATTACTGCTGGTAAACGCCTGTTCGCCAACTTCATAAGCACTGGGATTTATTTTAATATCGGGCGCTATGTAATCTGTGTTTCTATTTTAATATTGCTTTAATACCTTATACATATATTCCCACAATTCTAATACATTATTTTCGCACAAATAATGTGTTTTAACATCTATAAGTGATAAATGAAAGAAAGTAAATTGCCTCCATCAAAGATTGGCATGAGCTAATACCCGCTGAGCAGTTACCGCCCACTCGCCGATCACTTGCAATTGTACACCCACGTTGTTAAAGTCGTATTTTATGGTGTGACTTTAAAAGAGACTATACAATTTCTACTTGCTTCGTTTAGGAGGTTTAATCAGCTAAGCATTACAAACTCATAAACACTGACGCCATAGCTTGATATTTCGAATACACTATAGTCTGCCCGTATTAAACACACATATGCATTCAATTTATACTAAAATATCGGTTGTAAGCATTTTGCCTTAACATTGAAACGGAATTGTGTTTTGTGGGCGAACGAGGACATCATTTGCGGAAGTGGAGGTAGTTTCTACTGGGCGTACGGTTTTGTGTGCCTCTAGATATACCAGGTTTTTGTTCGCACGCACGAATTGTAACCGACCCACCACCATAACCACCCAAAAACTACTAAATAAAATAAATATAAAAGTGATTTAACGACGTAACTTTCGCTGAAGCTAACGTCCTGCACAATAATTTTGCATTTAAATTAAGTTTTTAATACAACCACAAGCACAACACACCATCTGAAACATGGATTTAAAGTTCGTCAATGTCATAATATTGGGCTTCGGCTTTATGTTCGTATTCACGGCCTTCCAAACTATGGGTAACATTGAGGTAAGAATGTGTTGTAGTTGCTTTAACTAACTTTTTCATATGGACATACATACATATGGATTATATCCTTGACTTTAATTGCGCGCATCCTTGACATACAGTGAGGACGTTAAATTTGTTGTCTGTCGCTGTACCTACATAACATATGCTTACAAATATTGTTGCCTTAATAAAGAAATGCCTTAGGTAAAATTTTTGGTTTCTTTACTGAATAATTGAAAACAACTTAACACAAATTTCAGTCCCCTTGTTTTTTATAAAAAGCTGCAACTCTAATTTGATGCTGTAGAAATTCTTTATAAGTTATATAGCTATATAAGTTTTTGATGCGACTTTGAACAAAGCTGGAGTTTGAAATATATATTAGTAATAAGTTATATAAGTTAAGCTTGTATACATATGTACCTATGTACTATGTATCGTTCGCTAAGTGGAAGATCGCCCAATCTCAGCAAATAGTTGAAGAACGCCCAATTTAAGAATGTGTTGAACAATGCAATATTTTAGAAATTGGTGAAAAAACTTCCTCTTCGAATACGACTGAATGTATGTAATTAAAATTGTTAAATGTATTGCAGAAAAATGCTAATAACATTTTAATTATTAATACTATTTTATAGGACATATTCTAAGAAAACTGATAACTGCCAGCACTGCATCCGTATTTCATTTTTCTTGCTCTCCACCACTCTTAACTATGCAAGTACATGGATAAATACGCAGGTCCTGTAAATATACATTCTTATGTACATGCAAACATATCGTCGGTGATACTGCAAAACGGTCTATGTCAATTGGTACCCTTGACACTTATATGGTCTCTTACTTACACCGGAATGCATTTGCAAATCGTTACAGCCCAATAAGCGAATGACATAACTGTCTACCTTTGGCTGATGAAGAGGAACGATTGCCAGAAGCGATCAGATACAGATAACAGACCGATTAAGCACCAGAAGTAAGTACCATAGACAGTGGCGGATCCAACCGGGGGATATTGGGGGTTAAACTACGTGTCAGTCAGTGGCGGACCCACGGGGGGTGTTTTGATATGGCGAATATGTATGTATAATATGCCGTCTATGTATTAAAAACGTCCGTGGGTCCGCCCTGACTGACACGTAGTTTAACCCCCAAAACTCCCCGCTGGATCCGCCACTGACCATAGAACGTTTTGCAGTATCACCGACGGTATGTACAATGCATAGAATGTATAGTTCATTTTTTATCAATTTAATCACAGAAAACGGAGCGCCATACGTATTACCATTATGCATACTTAGTATATAAACATAGGCTCTGTTTGCAGTGCAAACTTTGCACTCGAGTGAAATGTCATAGAATTCAGCTCTGATTCATTTTATATGTACATGGAATATGTATACTGCATATTGTGTGCACATGGTAAATACATATGTTTACATATATGTACCTACATCCATACATCTGTACTAGGGCTGGGACTATCATTGTATTCGGATATCCGTTTTTGTATAGGGGCCATTCAGGTATTACGTAAGCAGAGTTTGGCTGACTTCGTAAATCATCAGCCTCTTTTATTTCTATACTTTAACTGATGAAAATAGATGCCCAATATGCGCAAGCACATTCAGATGCCGAATTTGAAATAAAGAGACATACAGATAAAATCCGGTTATCCGGTTAATATGTGTTATATTTTATAATCAAGATTCCCGGTTTATATCCGGATAGGCGGGCAAGACCGACTCTATTCGTTTCACCATGATAGGCGGGTAATATCCGCTAATTTTGCTATCAGGATACTCCATTAATATCCATCTATTTTTTTTTGCCCGTATATTCGGTTAATATCCTCGTATTCCGATATTTTAATCAGATTTTCGAATGTTCCAATATCCGGATAAAACTCCCGGCCCTTTTATGTACATTAGACCGTACCACCTTGTAAGCAAAAAAAAATATAAAAATTGGCGTAAAATCCTTGAGTATATAGGCTGCGTTTCTTTATACATTCCGGATAATCCCATTTCACAGCCGGAATAAACAGAATACGTTTGAAATATACGTTAACATATCATAAGGAACGTCCTAAAGAATAAGTAAACAAAAAAGTTTATTCCAAACGTTCAGAATGAATAAAGAAATGCAGCCATAAAGTATTGTTGCAACGAAATTTTTTGCTGTACTTAGCTCTTTCACATTCACGGTGACACAGTTGTACTGGAATAATCAAAATACTTTCTTAGCAATAATTTATTTAATTTTTGGTGAGTTATAATTTTGTGCTTACAGATCGAACTCTTAATTCCGAGGATATGACGAAAAATGAAAAAAAAACGATCCCTAAGTTCAGGCAAAATAATTTTTTTTTTCGAAATCGCCTTATAAAAATTCTTTTGGAATGAGGGGCATACCGCCAACTTTTTTTTTTTGGTACGGTCTAATGTATGTACATATCTACGTACTTACAAATTCATATAAGTCGTGTGGCTGAATGCTAGCGAAAGTTGTAGACACCCTTCTTTTATATTTGGTATAATTGAGTTTTATACCCTCTAATTTAATATTGTCCCATAAGTGAGAGTAAATAATTGTATATATGCACTTGCATATACATACGTGTATATATGCATGTGTATGTACTTATGTACAAACCTATGTGGATCCCTTATAGTTGTTTGATATGTTGTTGGAAAAACTTTGTAATATATGTATGTGTTTTAATCAATTAGATGCGATACTATCGTTGCGATACGATATCGTATTTGATGCGATAACGATGAAAAGCAAAGGCCCTCAAACAGGTGCGATGCGATACACTGCAGTGCTTCATCTTTCTTTTAGCAATCTCTATATTTCAAATACTTCGAATCGGCTAAAATGCGATAACAATTGACGAGCTGAATTATGAATTCCATTTCAGAACTCTACAATAAACAGGTTATTCATATCGTGCGATCAATTGTGCTTGCTGCAATACATTTTTTGAACGCATCGTATACCGCATCTGTTTGAGCACTCCCATATTCATCGATAGTATCGCATCTGTATGAGGCCTTCTTAAGTATAACAAGAAACCTTCCTTTTATGCTATATAAGAAATTCACAACAGCAACTGTCAACTGTGTCTCATAAGGAAGAATTTGCCTTGCAGTTTTTTATACCCCAGCGCACTTTTGTACCATTATAAATTCGTTCGTATAGCGCTTATTTGTAACAGTCCCGGCGAAAAAAAGTTATTTGAACAAACTCAACGGCATTTTAAAGAGTAAGGGCCAGTTTTTCATATTATATCGCACACTGTCTTCAAAAGAGTCACAACTCAAAATAATACGTTGTTCAGAAAATGCGAAAAACTATTTCGTAGCACATGTTAATCACAGGGGCAAGGGCGACTTTACCTTAGGTTTTTTAACAAATTATAACAATAAGTAATTTTTAAGCAAAAAACAAAACCGACTTCAATTCGGTCGGTCAAGTCGGTTAAAAATAAGCCCAAAACCGAAAAAACATAGTTTTTGTTTGAGCGATAACAAAGTAATTAATTTAAAAGTTGTTGTTTGAGAAGCAATTGAATTTTTGTAAAAACTGTTTATAAACTATTTTTAACCTACTTTGACATGGCGTATTTCCGTTACGGTTTTTTTTTGAGAGACGTAACCGAACCAACTACCCGGTTATCTTTACAATCGGACTCGACAGAATCGGTGTTTTGAATCGTCGGAACCGCTTATAATTATAAACTATTAATCTAATTAATAATTACACTAGTTAACATGAAATCCCAGATGTGGCACTTGGCAATCATTTATTATGTAAAATTTTCATCTGTATTCGAGTTTGTATCCAACGTATAAGAAACTAAAATATTTTTATTTATAGCCGAATTTTGGGTTTTTAAAGTGAAAAAAGGGCACGAAATTGATTTATCGAAAAATTTGCATAAGTAATTTAAAAAAATAAAAAAAACAAAATTTACTTTCGACATTAAAACAAGACCCTTTTTACCTAAATTGAATAATAAAATGTTTCCATACAAATTTATAATTTGCATATTATGGAAACCCAGCTTTTACTAAAATTTTCAATCGCTATATGGCAGAAATGATAACTCTTAAGAACAATTCACGATCTGCACTTTTGTTTGACCCATTTTTATCATACACCTTACAGTTGGGCTTTTAAAATGCAGAAATTTATTTATTAAATTTTTATACAGCTGTACATTCTTAACCACCTAATTGAAGGAAAATAGCTCGATAAATGCAAATGTACTCTTCATTAAACACTCGTATTTTTATCATTGCTTAATGTTGCTACAAATTAAAAACTGTTTGATTATTTCCAATCAGTTCAGAAATAGATTTCTGTTGTTAACTGTTTATATTACTGCCTGTTATTACCTCCTTATCGACTACTTTTCTTTGTTGACCTGAATAGAGAACATAAACCATGCATACATACGTATGTATGTATAGTACATACATCATAAAAAAGTTACTTTTATACAAGTTATGTATGTAAGTATGCACGTTGCATGTATGTACATTAGGGTGCATCGCTTTCCATACAAAAAAAATCGGTTTTGTTTTTGCATCAGAAATATAAAATTTATTATATTTTAAGATGTCCGCCAAAAGCTTACTGAAACGGATTAACGTTAGCTGGACCTATTGTGAAAATAATTAAAAAAAATGTAGTTTTTTATAAATAAAATTAGTTTTTCAAAATAGTTTTTTCTAAAAATCCACCACAGATAGAAGAGTTCAAGCTTAAAGAATCTGTATAAAAAGTATTACAAGTTTTTTCAACGGAACCACTAATGATAGCTGCAAATATTTTCAAATCGGTTTACCTCACGTACATAAATCTGTAATTTTTCTAAAATATTTTAGCAACAGTCTTAAAATATAATAAATTTTATAACTCCGGTGGAAAAACTGGAACTTTTTGGTGTGGCACCCTAATGTACGTACATACATACATTATCGATTGAAGTTCAGAGAGAGTTTCAAATAATTTTAAACATTCTTTGAAAACATCTCAGTCACGAAAGCTTACCGTAAGAAATATTCCAACAACGAACCATATATGTATGTATTAACAAAGGTGATCCATTTCAACGATTTAATTTAGCGTTATTCCATATGAAATCGATTTTGTTGTAACTTTGAGGAACCCTTCTTTAGCGTTGCAAAGAGCAGAATTTACACAAAATAAAATTTTCATAAAAGCTCGTTTCCGCCTGTAAAATGTTTCCTTATTATGATGGCTTATGATTCGGCATTTTGAAGGGACTCTAGGAGCTTATGTTACTCAGGAGTAAAGTATGCGTATCATAGACACGAAACACAGCTACGAGTCGACCCGACCAGCTTACTCCTTATAAAAAAAAAGAACTTTGATTGAAGTTGCGAAATTTTTAAAAATCGCATTATTCAGGTTACGCTAGATATAAACATGAAACTTACAGAATCTGTAGTTCATTCCTTTAACTTCAAGTAGCTCGTTTTGTTATTTGCATGCTTAGTGTGTAGCCAAAATTTACCTAATTTTATTATCTTACAAATTTTCGAAAATTCTCATGACCACGGCGTTCGATACATCAGCCTTATGTAGAATTTTCCGCTAAAACCAAATATGACGGTTCCACATTGTGAAAATGCAATGGGCTTCGAGATACTTTAAAATTTTACTCGTTTTGTTATTTTGATGTAAAGTGCATTCAATTTTAGTATAATAAAGTGCAAATTTCAAGTCGCTAAAAATTACCATTGATTTTTAGAATTTTTTTGCGGAGGGTGTTGCGCATTTTCTTCCATATAATAGCCAGTTTTATTCATTTATAATTTCTAACTATACTTATTTTATAGAGTTACATGCTATAATGCTGGGTAATGACCTCCTTACAACACCCGCGTTAAAGCATGACCATGGGAGTAGAAGTTCACAGGTTGAAATGAATGAATGAATGAAATTGTCGAAAACTAGGGAAAAATCTTGTCCCGGCGGAATATTTCAAATTTAGTGCAAAATACGGGAGTCCCGGCAAATACGGGACATTTGGC